TGTTTAAATGTTGTTTTTACACTTACGTGCATGTTCACATCTCCACACACTTGCACATAATGCATTTTGATCATGCAATGGGGGTTCCATTTGTGACTTAGGAACTTTTCTTCATTTTAGTGCATAACAGGTTCAAAAGCACATTTTTGAGCCATTTCGGTCGACCGAAATGCCACTTCGGTCGACCAAACCTCTTTGAATTTCAGTAGAACAGTAATTCATCTCATTCCAGTAGCCTTTTCTACAGTTTGGAACCATTTCGGTCGACCGATGGTTCATTTCGGTCGACCGAAACAACCAAAACCTCCAGGTTTGTTTTCAGCTCTCAACATCTTCATTTTGGTCGTCCGAAACTCTATCTCGGTCGACCGAAATAGCCTTCTTAGGTGTATCTTCCAAGTTGAGTTTCAGTACTGGTCATCCGACTTCAAGTGATCATAACTCCTTCGTAGATTTTGAGTTAACTTTCCAATGGTACCAATGCAATTCTCAGATTCCAATCACAGTGGGAGTTATTCATGTTTTAGTGAAGTAGTGTCAGTTTTCGCTTCGACCGGGATATGGCATTTTGTGGGATTCTTGTCCAATGTTCTTAGAACCTCTTGGAATGTTGTGAAATGAATAAATTAGGTTGTTTTCACCTTATTTGACTTGTTTAGAGTCAAATTTCTCCTTTTATTTGTGAGGTGGCCATTTTGCCCCTTGGTTCACAGTTTTTGGCCGTTTTGACATTTGTTTCCGCTTTCATCCTCTTTGAGCTTCGTGGCTTCAAGGAAGGTCACATTGGTGTTTTAGAGATGGTTTATATCTCTAAAGACTTTGGTTTCATCTTTTGCTTCTGCATTTCGGATCCGTTATCGGATCAACTTTCGATTCATCACTGACGCACCGGGTTGAAAAACTTGGGCCGTCACATAAGTATAGTAATCTGCAATATACATCATGACATAACTGTGTCCCTTCGCTTTAAGTTAAATATCATGCCTTCTATCTAGTCATCATTCTTTCATATATAAGATATATACTTGCATAAACCATGTATAAATACCCGTCACATTACCATTTAAAACATGATTGCACAAACCCCGTGCCAAAATCTAATTTTCTGTTTTCATAAATTTTCAGGGAAAAGTCTGATATAAGGGGCATTTCGGGTATTTCACATGAAAATAAAATTTTCTGTCAACACGGTTATATAGAAAACATGATTTTTTTTGGGGGGGGGGGGGGGGGAAGAGGGTTACTTCACAACATTTTTCCAAAAAATGTCATCTAGGCCCTCAAAAGCCCCTTTGAAACTCAAAAATCTGTGCAAACCATTGGATGTCAGAGGGGGGCTGCCATGGCATGCCTTGCGCGCGCGCCGTGGGGTGCCCATGGCACCCTTTGTGGCAGCTTTGCTGCCCTGTTTTATTTTGGCCATATATTCCTCGTCTGGACTCTGAATCAGGCGATTTTTGAGTCTATCTTCGTTATTTTTTTGTTTTCTATGGTGTGCTCGGTATCACCCACTTTTATTTTGAAATGATCATTTTACCTCTAGGGTTGTATTTGTCCGTTTTTAAAACGTCGCTTCTGCATCTTGTTGTCTTTCGAGTTCTATAGCTTCGTGGGAAGTTACATTCATGTCTTAAAGATGATGTGCATCTTTAGAGACTTTGTTTTCTGGGTGAAAAGACCATTTTGCCCTTGGGGCCATACTTGGTCTATTTTCAACCTAGCTTCCTTTTTCGTTCTCGTTGAGTTCCATGACCTCATGGAATGTTACTTTTATGTCTTAAGGATGATGCGTATCTCCAGAGACCTTGGTTTTATCTTTTTTTTTTTCCGTATTCAGGATCTGTTTTTGGGTTATCTTTCAAGTCATCACAGGACGCACTGGCTTGGAAAACCAGGGCTGTCACAAAACGGTTCAAGAAAATCATGGAACTGGTTCATCTTTGGCAGCCCCTTTCCTTGAACCTACGCCTAAAGATGAAGCGGTTCAAGAAAATCATGGGACTGGTTCATCTTTGGTAGCCCCTTTCCTTAAACCTATGCCTAAAGATAAACCGATTCAAGAAAATCATGGGACTAGTTAATCTTTGGCAGCCTTTTTTCTTGAACCTATCCCCGAACATTATTTTGGTCCTTTTTGCTTCCAGTCTCGTTCTCGAACTCGAAAATTGGTCTTTTGACCTTAATGCCCCTGTCCCAACTCACGAACATGAATAAATAATCATCCATCAATTTAAAACATCTAATAATACTATCATGATCACCAAACGTTATTTATAAGTCATGTTACATACAAAAGTAGTCCCAAAAGAACATATATACAAGTTATAGCCTTCAAGGCCTCATTACAACGCCTTACAAATGAATAGTTATCAACTAAGCATTGGATACAAAAGTTTACAAAAACTTTCATCCGTTAACATTAACTAAGCTCGTGAGGGTCCGTCATCAACCATGTCTCTGTCATAACCTAAAAAATGTTTAAGGAAGGGGTGAGCACGGATGTGCAATAGAAGATATCTAAGGCGTCAACTTTTGACTCCCTTGAGTCACACATCACACATTGAGGATTATAGGATGTCGGGATATTACTTGGGGGATATTACGGAATTCAATTCACATTTCAACCCAATCAATGGCATAGGTACAATTCCACATTTTACAAATGAAGATGTAATGCAATACACAACTAATCCCAAGCTTAGTCTCAAACCGACCCCAATCCCCACCTACGCTAACTGACTTTACCGAGCTGAGATAGATACTATTCCTAGCCTCAATATGATGACCATTTCGGGCCTAGTATCAACGTTATACGTCCTACATTGGCACGCGCTCCCTCTAGGTCAAGTTAGCACCGAGCTCGTGGTACCAGGTCCATTTCTAAATTCCTCTTTCCTACCCATCCTAAGATGGCTAACTTGTCAATCTCTTTTAATTTCCTTACCATTCTAAAATGGTTTAAGTGTCCTCCTCATTCAATTTCTCCACTATATCATGCATATGTATCAACTTCTTCAATTACTTCAATTTCATTCATACACTAACAATGACATAAACATGACATTCTTTACAACATGAACTCAATCATGTTATTTCTCACAAAACAATTACTAGCATGCTCATAATAGATTTCACATCATCACTGTCATGCTAACATTTAAACTTAGCATTTTAACAACTTAGGAATATTATGTTTCACACTTAGCACATAAGGCACATTTAATTACTACATCTAAGCATGCTTTCATTACATCATCTTCAATTGTCATGTTATCACAAAACTTGCATTCAATATAGAATAAATGAAGAATTAAGAGAAGATTACTTAACAAAAGGCAAAGTTTTGAAGCATTAGAAGTCCCTACCTCAAGTGTGCTAGCCAAACATGCCCTTAGCCAAGCCCTAATTTTAAAATTCTCCTAGCCCTTGCATCATTGGTCTCAAATGGAAGCCCTCTCCAAGCTCTCCAACTTTCCCTTCTAGGGCTTCATCAATCTCTCATTGAAAACCCTTCAAATCCAAACTTGAAACCATGGAGACATATATGTGTATAGTTGTATATAAAATATAGAAAGAAAAAGAGAAAAGATAGGGAGAGGAAGAAAGTTGGCCGAAAATAGGGAAGGGGGGTGTGATGGTGTTGTCTTGCTTTTGCCCAATTGGTCCATATTGTGCCAAGTGTCACTCAATGGTTGATTACTAACTTTAGCCAAAGTTACTCAAATGCCCATGCCCTTCTATTACAATACCATCTACATCCCCAAAATAACTCCTCTAATACACAGATACATGTATATGTATATACATAAGAAATGTACATAATGCCCCTCAAGGACGATGGTAAAACCGGGAGAAATTCCTGAGTCCGGAAATCATCCCAACTTTCAAAAAATTCTAAAATTAATCCCGTCACTTCTAATTGACTTAAAATAATTAAAAATACAATTCTAAAACTCTCATCTCAAGAAATGACCTAAACAGTCCTCAGGGCCCGCGTGGCACGCAAAATGAGGTTTATAAAATAAATAATATAAAGATTCAAAAAAATCTTGGACATTACAATTCCAATCTAGCTATGTAGTCTCCGTCAACCACCGTCAATCGCCTTGTCAAAGAAGACCTTATGATTCCCAACCCTCAACGCGTTTTACTAGTGATCGAGAGAAGGAAGTTGGGGAAAAGGGTTTGTTTCTAAAATTACAAAGATGCCCACAATTTTGATGATGTGGTAGGTTCCATTGGTAGGTTCAATTTTGAGGATGTGGTAGGTTTATAAAATAAATAATATATATATATATATATACTCAGTTAGAGAAAAAGAGAGGGTTAAATTTTAGGATCTTTTGGTCATTTAAAATGAGTGTCTTTGGGGTAGTTAAGTCATTTTATACATAAAACAAAATCAACACAAAGTTAAAAGGATAATATTGTCATACAGATTAAGTCTTCAAAATATGAGTGTAAGTTAAAACCAAAATATCCAGAGATTTGACCTAACTTGAAGGGAGTGTCAGTGTAATTTATCCTTAAATTAAAGACAATATGAAGGAAAAAAAAATTCTAAAAAAAATGATAAGAAATAATAAAATAAAAACAAGTTCCCATGAGAATATCAACACCTTCGTCTAAAACGACGACAGATTAGTGTTAGTTGACAATTGACAGCAACACATCATGAAAATTGGCCATTGGAGTTTGGGCTTATAGATAATGGCCATTGGAGGAGAGCTACCACCACGACGTCGTTCCTGTTCGTACAATGTGTGAACAATTGCCCTCTATCCTTCAAATTATTCACCGATAATATGTGTATTAAAAGATTTGACTTTTTGGAACGTTGGACAAATAGATAGGATGTGAGGCCAACAACCTCTTCCATCCACACACACCCCACACCTACCCCCCTCAACAGTCCAAAACAACCCTTTCATCATATCACACACATACATGCTATACAATCAATTATATGTATCAAATGTCCAAGTCATGATAAAGTCATCACCACCCATTGCTGTTTTCACATTAAATATATAATCATTCTATTCCGCGGACTAAATAGATAGAGATAAAAAGAGAGAAATGGAGTCCCCACCACCTCCACCGCCACCACCCCCACCACCATCATCATCATCATCAACGCCATTGAAAACGGAGCTTTTGGATGCTCCCCTGAATGCAATTGGCTTTCAGATTGAACACCTGTCACCGGATAAAGTCTCCGGTCGCCTTCATGTCACCCACAACTGCTGTCAGGTAAAAGGGTATTTTGAAGAATTTCTGACAACAATATCTTTGGATTCCAAGTTCTAACAATTGGGTAACGATTGAATTCCTCAGCCGTTCAAGGTTTTGCACGGAGGAGTGTCGGCGTTGATAGCGGAGTCACTGGCGAGCATTGGGGCTCACATGGCCTCCGGGCTGAGGAGGGTCGCCGGAATTCACCTCAGCATCAATCACTTGAAGAGCGCTACCCTCGGCGACCTTGTACTAGCTGAAGCCACCCCACTCAACGTTGGCAAAACAATCCAGGTCCCTTAATTATTAATTCACCTCATCACTATCATGCATAGCTAGCTATATGTCTTGTTATTCCATTTTATATATCACTTCAATATTTCATATACTAAGATGATGAATTAATTTGAAAACAACAAAAGCAGTAGTAACCATTCATGATGTATAGGGATGCTTCTACCTACTTCCCAAATTAGTTTTTAACTAATTATATCCTAAAATATGTTTCACTTTTTGTAATTTATATTTCCATGTATATTGAAATAATTGATGAGCATGGATTTAAATGGGAATGGCTTAACAAAAAAGGTCAACTGTTGACAGTTTGAGACAGACTCTGCATAAACAAAGATCCAACAAAAGCTTATCTTATTTGCCTGACTCCCCTTTCTCAATGATGATGATCTATGTAACTAATCTTATCCCAATCTTCAATTTCACTACTCAGAAGAAACTAACCACATTTAATTAATTAAACCCAAAAAAAAAAAAAAAAAAAAAAAAAAAAAGAATTATCAAGAAGAGCAATGGAACGAGCATTTTTATCCCAATAACACCAGTGGTAGTTTCTCATTTCTTTGTTGATTTAAAATAAAAATAGAAAACTGTCTGTTTACATCTGCCAGTTTTAGTTTTCTCATGATAATTTTAGGCATGCTTGATTTGTCACTTAGAAAACATTAATAAAAGACAATTGTTTGCCTTCTCTTTAATTGATTCTTTAAAAACTATCAACCAAACAAATTTTTGTAAGATTCCGGTAATATAGAAAACTATCACGAGAAAATTGAACCAACCAACGTGGACCATTGTTTCCAATTCCTCGTCTCCACTCAATTTCCCTCAAAACCTTTGACCCTTTGAGAATCAAGACTTTGATAAGATGTTAAAACCACTTTTCCCAAAAAGCTAAAACTGTTAAGGAATCAGTGTTCCATCTCTCCTTGTGCCAATCACTTTTACACACTCCCACTTCTCATTGTGTGCTGTGTGGCAGACCAGCCATGACTGCAAGTGATTGAACATGTACCGTACTCATAGTGTCACTTATAGTTTACTTTTCTATTTGGTTTTAAGTTTTTATGGTTTTGTCACTTAAATTTATAATCATGATTGCTAATAAGATCTAGATATGGCATTTTGTAGCAGGTATGGGAGGTAAAGCTCTATAAGACTGAGCCTTCAAACTCAGAGAGGAGTTGTTTGATATCATCTTCGAGGGTTACTCTTCTATCCAACATGCGTGTGCCAGAGCATGCCAAAGATGCCGGTGAAAATCTTAAGAAGTATGCAAAATTATGAGTCTATGCTGTACTGTTTCCACAATCAACAGCAGTAACAGCTTCAATAACACTAGTCCAAGCAAGAAGATTTGGTGTGGGGCATGATTTTCTGCCAGGGTGCAAAAGTACTAGTATAAGATGACAATTATTTGAGAGGTACAACATGAGCCCAGCAACAATGAGCTAGATCAAAAGAGAATAAAAATGTCCTTTTGCACTATTGGTTAAGAAATGTCCTTTCCACTGCCTAGTCCGTAACTCCATCCACAGTGAATTTCTATGTGCAACTAATGTTTGAGATTTTTGTGCAACTACTTTCTATATGCCATCAAATGTTTTTGAGATTTTTGCACAACTTTGATAAAGCTGAACTGAAAACATATATTTACACAAACAAAGTTGATTCACTCATCAAGAAGTTGGCATTTCTTATTCATCTTTTCAGGCAGTAAACTAACTATTACAGGAAAAAGGGACAAGTCGTGAACATATATTTCAAGTGCTTACTTCATAGAAAAGAAGTCGGATACATATAAATATACATTACTAAGATTCAGGAAACAATATATGTATTTATCACATTAGAAAGTTGATTACAGGGTAATTTCTTGTACCAAATTCCAAACCAACTGAACCTATTGCTTCCTGTATTTCTTTCCATGCTGATTTCCGGATATCTTTTGCCTTCAAAAGCCATAATAACAAAAATAAAAATATGCGCACTTAATTTAACAAAATTTAATTGAGGAGCCAATACAATAATTATACGAAAGGATTACCTGAGATTGGTAAGTTGTTGGGTTAATTCATTCATCTCGAGGCCGGAAAGTTTGAGTGAAGACAAGGTTCCAGGTACCTCTACTGATGCTACTTGGACCAGTTTATCCATTGATACTGCCATTCTTCTAAATGCCTACATACACATAATGATAATTCTTGATTATGAAAACCATTCAATACAAATTTTCTTCATTTTCCCCAAAAATGTGGAAAAATAAACACTGAGACCCAAAAACATTCAATACAACATAAACAATGAAAAACTAAGACTTTACAAAATAGGGTTAAGTAGAAGAGAGATGCTTACGCTCATAGTTGGAATCGAGATCACAGCCAACAAGAAAATAGCTCCAACAGCCTAAAACAAATGCAACCAAGCTATATGTTATACATATATGTGTGTAACTTAAGCCAACTATATATGTGAATTAGTATATTTTAAGCAAGGAAAAACAAAGGAAAGTGTTTTACCATGGAGAGGACGAAGAGAAGAGAAAGAAGGCCCAATTCAGGAGTGGGTCGAACAGTTATCCGTTTACCCAATTCAATCAGCGGAGCTGAACGAACCATCATCGATTGCCAAGCTGAATTGGGTCTCCATTTCTGAACCAGCTCTGAGATTCCATTGCCTCCGACGGAGGCGAAAATGATGGAAGAGGCAGTTCTGGGTTGTCGAATCGATGCCCGATTGCGATGTCGGCGCTCCGGATTTAGGACTAGCGGGTTGTTGAACAGTAGATAACAGCCTCCCACCATTGTTGGTTGAGAGTGAAGGAAGACCTAAGAGAGTGGCTGAAACAACGTCGTTTTATTGACCACACAGAGTCGTCGTCTCAAACCAAAAGTGCACGTGACATGATATTGACTTGTGGTGTTTCATGGAGCAATAAAAAAGGAAAAATTATTGGGTGGTTGATTTCAATCAATTAAGAAACACTATAATTAGGGTAAATTACACTCACATCCTCCGAAGTTAGGTTATATTTTAATTGTAAAAAAATTTTGATTTTAATTTTCCCTCACACCCCAATTTACTTTTTACCTGCAAATTGAACCTTTTACCCTCAATTTTTTAATAAAAAATATATATAATCTTAAATGATAAAAGGTCCCTCTGTCTATATATATACGGTTTGTACACGTAATCCCAAGATCACCATGTCATTTATGGTCCCTAGCAATCCTAACTGTCCAAACACACACATCAAAACCTTTTCTCTCCTCTCCCTACAGACCAATCCTCTATAGATTCTTCGTCATGATTTCACCCACATTGCCGATTGGGATTTTTGTAAAATTCAATCAATGAATTATACAAAACATATAATTAAATCTATTTTTGTGAGATTCAAAGGACAGTACTATTGATGACCAGTCATTTTGATAGCCATTTGATTTGATTTCATTCTTATCTCTAAATTATCATGTTATGTCCTCACTTTCACACCGACCACATCCCCACCTTACTATCTGAACGGCGGTAGGAAAGCGGCTGCAGTGGCATAGAGCTTTAAAGAAACCACCAGCGATGACGATGAACTTGGAAGATGCCGGTGAGTTTGGGCTAATTTTTCGTGTTTGGGCTAATTTTTCAACAATAATGAACTTATCGGGTGTGGACAAAGAGCTGACGGGCTACTGCCCGGTGAGCCACCCTCTTGAGCCCTCGAAGGACTTAACAAAGTCAACGATTTTGCAGAGAGAAATCAAGCAATCATCTGCATGTTTGTTGATTTTTCTGATCGATTGAACTACTTCTTACTTTGAGATTGGAGGAGGTAGTTTGGAGGGAGGAGTGGTCAAATTCCGATGGTTGATCGGATCAGAGGTGGATGAGACGGCGGAGGGTGAGGTTGGGGAAGAAGTCGGTGGTGTCGAGGATCTGCATAGTGACGGGACAGGTGTTGTGGCTGGAGTTTGGTTGATGGGTTGGGTTCGTAAGTGACGCCGGTAAGGATGAAGAAGTTTGGTTGATGGGTTTGGTTAATAGGCTGGCTTCTTTGGATCTGTAGTTTGGTTGATGAATTGGGTTCTTTTGATCTGTTGATGGACAGGTGTTGTGGCCGGAGTTTGGTTTGCGAAAGCTTGCCGCTGGAATTTGGTTGATGGATTAAGTCTATAGGTGACGCCAGTAAGGATGAAGAAGTTTGGTTGATGGGTTGGGTATGTAAGTGATAAGTTTGGTTAATGGGTTGCGTTTATAGGTGACGCCGTGTAACGACCCAAACCCAGGGGTCCGAATCACTAACCAGGTCCTTACCCGAACCCAAGGATACACCAGGGGTAAAACGGTCATTTTATAATAATTATGGATAATATGACCTTAAGCAAGTCAAATTAAGTTTATAATGATCATCTTAGTCATTCCATGACATTTGAGAGGTTCTATGGTCATTGGTCATGATTGTCCAAAAGTGCCTCTACTCGGTTCAAAGGGAATCCCGATATTGTCTCACTAAAATAACCATATCTCTTAGCACTAATGGAATTTGAAGATGAGGTTGGTGTCATTGGAAATCTGACTCAAAAATCTTGAGAATGGACTAAAAAATGACCCCATTTGGATTAGAAACAAAGAAGTTATGACTGCTTGAAGTTAGGTGATCCAAGCTGACAAACTGTGAAAGCCAAAAAGTACACTGGGGAACTTGAACCGGTTTCAGATTTCTTGAACAGGTTTAACATGGGCAGAATGCCCAAACATGAACCAATTACACCCTGGAACTGGTTCCATGAAAATTGAACCGGTTCTAGAAGACCAAAACATGAAAATGCCTAGAAAAGCTTAAAATTAAGCACTTGTGCACATGAACACCCCCTTCTTCCCTTGGTGACCTTATTTAAAGTCTAAACCTGTCTCGAACCATATATTTGACAGTAAATAAAACATAATTAGGCATCCATACATTTATATAAACCGTAAATGAGTCCATTACATCATTTAAAGTTAAACAAGCCCGTAATACGTCAAAATATGGCCTTAAGGCCTTACATGGATTTAGAAATCATAATTAAACCACGAGATACAAGAGGATGGTCTCAGAACCATTTCTACCCATGGAATAGATACAAAATGGCTCCTAATTCAATTTACAACAAAAGAGTAATATATACATCAAGCACAAAAGAAGTCCAAGTCTCTTTCAACCCGACTAAGCTTGTGGTGGATTGTCGTCCACCACTTCCTTTCCGTATCCTGAAAATGTAGAAAAATAAGCATAAGGCCCAGTAGAGATTGCCTAAATGGCATCTCCTAAAATTAAGTAAACAAAACGCATGCTTAGACATGTCAATGAATAACGTAGGAGAATACGGATCATATTGGGATCACACATCATCAATAATTAATAAGTAATCTACTATCAACCATTTGAAATAATGTAATGCAAGAAATGGCTTATGCAATGCATTCCACACACACACACACACACTCTCACACACCCAATCCACATACCTAAAAGGTACTAACTAGCCAGACTTTGGTACCTCCGCCGTCCCTAGGGAGAATTTGCTAGTCATCCATGGTAAAGGGTGACTCCTAACTACCATTTGGGTCCTGAGGTAGCTAAATTACTCACGGGTACTTCCCGTGGCCCTATTAACTAGTTAGCACTGCTAGCAAAGGAGTACCCCTCCAACTACCGAATTTTTTTAATAAAAAAACCTTTCCTCAAAACTTCTTCAAAACTTTTCTAGTTCACATCACCAAAATTTCCTTCACAACACACCCAATGCAACAATATTAATGCCATACTCACAATGGTCCACAAATTTCAATAGTCATCATTGCCCACTTATAGCCATAATTTTACCTCCACATGAATTGTTACACAATCATCAAATTATGAACATACATGGCATTGATAATGATACAATTATTCTACATGTAAACTTATGATCATCAAAACCACAATAGCACAAGTTTTACAATTTAACATTCACATTGGCAATTTCTACTACACATTGCATACATGGCATTTTAAGAATACTAGAAATGTCAATTTAACATCAAGTAACATGCTTCCTCACAATTAGTCACATAATCATTTAACAATTGGAATTTCTCATCACATATCCACCATTTAGCACAAACAACTAACGATTTGACATACATCATCAAATTCATAAAGCCCTAACATGCTACCACAAAATTGACATCAAACCGGCATGTAAAAATTGGGGGAAAACATAAATTCAACTACAAAATTAGAGGACTATGCAAGTTAAACAACTCTACCTCAAAGTGGAGCAACCAAACAAGCCCTTAGATCAAGCCAAATTCGAAATTCTCCCAAACTCTAGCAATATGGGTGCCAAATGGAAGCCTTCCCCGAGCTCTCCAATATGTCCTTCTTGATCATCTCCAAATCCCACTCTAAATCCCTCCAAACTAAGCTTTGATCTATGGAGATATACATATGTTTAGATGTAGAAATATAAAGAGAGAGAAAAGGAGAAAGATAGAAAGGGAAAGGGAATTGCTGAAAATAAAGGGGAAATGGATGGGTTGGCTTATCTTGCCAACTTATGAATGGTTCCCATTGGGCCACATGTCAAGCTACCAATAAATACAACTTTTGGCTAAATTACTAACATACCCTCTTCCTTCTATAACAATGCCAACAAGACCCCTAAAATATCTCTTCTAAAACATAGATATAGATATATAAACATATACATGTGGGTGAAATTTCAATAACGCCCTTCAATAAAAATGACAAAACCGGGAGAAGTTCTCGAGTTCGAAAATCGTCCCGACTTCCAAAAAAATTCTAAAGCTGATTCCGTCAACTCTAATTGACTTAAAATAATTATAATACACTTGTAAAGCTCTTGGCTTGAGAAAATAACTAAAATGACCCTCGGGACATGCGTTGCATGCAAAATGAGGCAACAAAAAAATAAATCCGAAAAAAATTCAAAAATCCCTGAAAATGGAAAATAAAAAAATGGGAAATATTACAATCTCCCTAACTTAAAATAATTTCGTCCCCGAAATCAAGCTGTCTCAAAAGCGAAGGACGAAAGGATACTGAATCGAAGTACGTCTCTGAGTATCCTACACTACAGGCTACAATATAAAATCTCAATCCTAAAAACTCTCACGTGCTAATGTCATTTGCAACCCTGTGCTCATGACCAAGCGTACCATCAATTGAATAGTGACCACCAGTAGCATGCAACACTACCCTTAAGACAACTACTTAACGTAAAGGCACATAGTGTACCCTCCCAACCATTACTTAACCCAAACTAGGACATCATCCGCACCTTTAGGGAAACCACTAAGCACACGAGACACAAATACCCAACCAAACTCCGTGACTCTACCTAGTCTTCACCACTCGAAACCATTAGGATCGCCATCCTCCTAACCTGAACAGACTACTAGTCGACACTAAATCCGCAAATGACGACTCTAGTCAATTTAAACAAACATACGCATTTCTAAAGGAACCATTCAACCCAAATCACTATAATACACAACCATCAACCTCTACACAAGGGATTAAGAAAATCACTCAGCCCAAGTCAAAGACTAACCCAAAACATAAAACCACATTAGCGTAATCCTCACAAGACATCCCACCCGGAGACCGTTGGATCCTACGAATTAGATCCAACCAGGAACGTCTCACACTATCCGCACTAAATAACCTAAGGACTCACAAGGACAGTGGTTACAAAACCACTAACGAACCAACCTGCGAACTCAAATTACAATCCCAAGGACACTCTAAAAATCGTCTCCGACAACTACAGTCCTCGATAGCTATGTCATAGCTAAACAACCGACTACTGACTTGAAGATTGTATAACCCATCGCACT